CTTTTCCACCTTCGCTCACTTCTTTTAGTGGTACCCTTTCCTTGCCCACCCGGAGGCTTTTGGAAACCTTCCGATGAAAAAGCAACAGGTACAAGGAGATTGGAAAAATCATTGACTAACTCTGTGGAATAGGGTAAACTAGGAGCTAAACTTGAGGAAAAAAACTGTAACTGGACTTTTAACAGAACGCTAAACTGTAGCTCGTATTATTCTCCTAGTATATCGCTTTTCTCAGCCACGTGACTCCAACCTTTGTTCCCTATTTGCGCAGGTTTCCCCGATAGCGATGCAAGCAGCAGAAGGAACTGCCGCCTTCCCCATACAACCCGGCATGTATGGATGAGTGGCAGCCGGTTTCCTCAAGCACTGTCTCAGGAAATCTCCATTTTTGATTGACGCACGATTTCGACACATGAAAGCGAGCGTCTGGTTCATGCTCACTGATCCTGTATTTCCTTGCACAAGTGGTGTTTTGTTACCATATACATTATTACTTCCCACTTAATGGATGAAGGCGAAGTCTACCATTACTGGCAAAACCTAAAAAAGAAGAAAGGTGGAGGAAGGAGAGGCAGGCGCCATAATTGTGACGTCAACTTAGTGCTTGTATCAAGACCTTCCTGCTCCATCCCTGGCACCGTCTTCAACCTCCATGATAGTTCGGAGCTAACTGCTGCTGCCATTTCCGTCTCCAGTCGGCGGAAAAAGTGCAAGTACTATAGCGTAAAAAAATGGAGAACGAAAAAAAAAAAAAAGCGAAAGTGGTCGTATATCGACATTTGGCTCCGGACTGGCTTTCCTGAACAGTCAGTAGCGGGGAATGAGAGTGGCGAGACTAGTTGCTCGACACGGTTATTCCTGCTCGTAATGCCGAGAAGTTTTCCACGCGCTCACATTGCGAAAGCTTTGAAATGTTACGTAACGTCTCAGTCACTCCGTATCGATCATTTTGAGGAAAAGGGTTCGCTGAATGTGACGTGCCGCGGCGCCCACAGTCTGCATCGAAGGTGGGCGTAACGGAGGATAATCCGGCCCATGACTTCGGACGCACGAAGTGACACTGAGTATGTGTGTGGATATTATTTCTATATCTTTATATATATATATATATATATATATATTATATATATATATATATATATAATATAATATATATATATATATATATATAATTTATAATATATATATATTATATACACATACATACATACACACATACATATAGATATAGATATACACATATATACAAATGTATATATATACACATATATACATAAATCTATACACATATATACATATATATATATATATATATATAATATATATATATATATATATATATACATATATACATATATATACATATATACAAATATATATACACATATATATACACATATATATATACATATATATACAATATATATATATACAAATATATATATATACATATATACATATATACAAATATATATACACATATATATACAAATACATATACACATATATACAAATATATATACATATATAGTTACACACATACACACGCATATATATATATATGCACACACATACATACGTTTACATGTACATGCATGTACATGTAAATGTATACGCATGTACATGTAAATGTATATGCATGTACATGTACATATACATAGATACATACACATATAAATATACACACACACACACAAACATATACATATACATACATATGTAAATATATATATATATATATATATATATAATATATATATATATATATATATATACACACACACACACACATATAAAACATCTCTTTGTCTAATCATAATGTAGGTATGTATACATGTGCATTTTTTAGGGGGGCGCGCCCACATAAGCTAGATCAATAGACTCTCCTGTACGATTAATCCATGTACAATGTTACATTCAAATCAGATGTACTCATGCATGTCATATCTATAAATAGACAGATTAACATAACACTAATCATTCCCCGATTCAGTGTCGCAAATACTCTCACTAAAAACCAATTTCACATTCCTCTTTTTTCTATCCCTAGAAGAGCTGAAAGGACGATGTGCTTATATATAGAGAGAAGTAAAAACGAGAGAGGGAGAAGAAGGGAGGCCGGAGGGAAGGAAGGGGAGGGAAGAGGGAGGGTGGGTGGGAAGGGGAGGGAAGATGGAGGGAGGGAGGAAAGGGAGGGAAAGGGGAAGAAGGGGGGCTCAACATCCGCCTGTCCTCCGCCCTCCCCATCTCTCTCCCTTCACCCCATACTCCTCCCGGGCTTCCTCGTCGCCTTCGTCATCGCCCGAATCCGTGACGCTGCCGTTAAACGTGAGAAATGCGAGAAATCGAGGCGATTAGTTTATCAGCCCCGCCGTCACATGGCGCCCAAGAACACCTTGACAGCAGAGTCACGCTGAGCTCACGGCCGCCTCTCCCGGGCCGCGCGACTCGTGAAGCGCCGAGGAAGAGGCTCAGCCTTCGCAGGACGCGCGAGAGCCGAGGCTGAAATCTTGTTCGGGTACAATGTTCCCAGGTCCCTCGTCCAGGACTCTGGTGGCGGGGCTCAGACCGATTCAAAAAGTATTTCGTGTCTCAGTGTAAACGCGGCTTGTTCCGAAGCTGCTCCGCCAGCATAGGAACAGCGAGCCAAGACTATATCCAGCAGCGCGTACACAATCGCGTCAGTAGAGTATGATGACGTCAGCTACAGCAGTGGCCTTGGCGGACTGATGATTTGGTTTGCTTGTTGCTGACAGTGTTACTGGAGAGTGAGAGTTCGCCTGTGGAGAGGACGATCCGTGCGCATCAGAATACGAGTTCATTTTGCATCAGGCTTGTGATACCTGCATGCGCCGTGCAAAGGGGAAACGTAAACACTGGATCCCTATGGGTTTGGAGCCCAAGCAAGTAAACGATGCCCCCACCACCCCAGCACAGGATTTCCGCAACAGTAACCTGGCATAATTATGTTTCACTTTTTGTCCACAGAGAACCGCAGCGGAGCGTCGCCGCCTTCCGGCGTCTCTCTGCTTCCTCGCCAGCGTCGTCGTCGATTGAACTCGCCAGCAGCAAGGCCCAAGAAAGGCGCTTTGGACACCTTCATAGCATAAAGTCACCGCTGACAAATGAAGGCATACCAACTCGATGCCGAAAAAAACAATATCATTCCTCGAAGGGGGCGTGGTTTGTAAACAAAACTGGAGCTACCAGGAACTGGGGCTTAGAACAGGTAAACCAGCGGCGGAGCGGTCATAAATTTGAAAAGATTAATAAAGATTTTACTCTCGCCTGCCCTGCCCCAAATCCCTCCCTAATCATCTCCATTTCAATGCTCACCTCCTCATGTGGCCTCTTTTCCACTCCTCTGCTAACCCCATTACTCCCTCCCCTCCGCGCTGGCAGCCACATCTCTCTCCTCATCCTTTCTCGCATCTCTGCTCTTGCTTGTCCTCTTGTTCTTTTACGTCAACTCCTCCTTCCTTTCATACACTCAACGGGTGCATGACGCGATGACCTACTCCACCCGACAGCTCTCCTCGCAGGCAAAGCTGGGGCGCATGATATAAATCTCCCTGGTCGTTCGCGTGGCTCGGGGCCGTTCCAAGACAACTTTCTTCATTTCTCTTACAACGGGAACAACAGCAAGAGACCTCGCCCGATATGTGGAAATGAGGAGAAATGATATTCTCGCTGGGTAGAATGTCGTCTGTAGGATAACGTGAACTGGGAGAAAGTGTATAAAATGGAGGCACAAGAAAGGAAGGGTGTTGGAGGAGGAGGAGGAGGAGGAGGAGGAGGAGGAGGAGGAGGAGGAGGAGGGGGGAGGAGGAGGAGGATAAGGAATAATAATAATAATAATAATAATGAGACAGAAAAGGGGGAAAGAGAAAAAGAGGGGGAGAAGGAGAAAGAATAGGGGGAAAGGAGGAGAGAGACAGAAAATGGGGGATGGAGGAGGAGACAGAAAAGGGGGGAAGGAGGAGGAGACAGAAGAGGGGGAAGGAGGAGAGACAGAGGGAGGGGGAAGGAGGAGACAGAAGAGGAAAGAGGAGGAGACAGAGAGGGATAGGAGGTAAAGACAGAAGAGGAAATTGGGCGAAGGAAGGAGGTATAGGAGGAAGGAAGGAGGAGGAGAGGAGAAGAAAGAGGAAGGAGGAGGGAAGAGGAAGGAGGAGGAGGAAGAAGAAGGAGGAGGGGAGGAGAAGGAAGGCGGAGACAGAAAACGGAGGAAGAGCAAGAGGTGGCTGGAGGGCGAGGGAGCGAGGCAACAAAAGGGCAAGAACGAAACAAACTTCTTGAGGACAAACAAGGGAAAGAAAGCGGGCGTAAACATGTTTATAGATGCAAAGGTGAGGGTGTGGTGACATGTCAAGAGCGGAGACCTGTCATGGGCGGTGTACATACAGGATGCTCAGGGTGGGAGGGGAAGGGGAGAGCGTGGGCGTTGTCAGCCTGGCGAGATGGCATCTCCAATTACCTTGGTAATACCTCGTCGCTCCTTTGTTTCCCGCAAAACAGCGATAGGTAAACACTTTTGGGGGGGAAATGGGAAGTCAGAGCTCCTCGTACAGAAGCAAACATAGCCAATAGTGTATCAAAATAAAGTATATCCCTGACACTAATTTAAACCATCACGACCCGCAAAAAGAAACAGTAACAAGAGGACTGAAGTAGGAAGCACTACGGGTTTTCTCGAGCTCTCTCTCGTGGCCGCCATCAGAAAAAAACTGACAGTGCTGCGGTTGTCCCCACGTTAGTATCGACACAACGTTAGAGGAAACCGAGCAGTGACCACCAGCCCCGCCCAGCGAAAGAGGCGACTTGTATGTCCCACGATCAAGTGACACCAGGAGCTGCCTGCGAGTCCCCGGGTCCCTCCGCCCGCCGGACGACAGGGCTCGCTGCGTCGGGAGGACAGGATGAATGGGCATCGGGCCCAGATATGCCACAGGAAGGCAGCGTCGAGAAATGCAAGTTAGAAGTTGGTTCTCAGGACTTACCAGGTTCAGCGCGCCAATGATGGTTGATCCGACCTGTGGAAGATAAATACAATTAGTAAGCGTGTCACAAAATAATGCTGAAAAGTAGGTGAGCAAATAAACTGTAAAATCCAATTTTCCTCTACTTGGCTGACTGACTGATTGTCATAGTCCCTCAGTCTGTCTCTCGCTTTCACCCTCATTCATTCCTCCATCCTGCCCTCTCTTTCAGTTTATAAATTGACTTAACTTCCTGTGACTGTGCAGCCTGTATACAACATGCCTGGATAGCAATTGAACTCGCATTCCTAACGTGTGGAAGTAAATGAATGACCTGATGAAATGTGAGGAATCTCAACTTGGATAATCTAGGTCCATTATAAAATCTAAACTGCGGCCGTAAACTCTTACAAAGATCCTCGCTGGAAGCAGAGCAAGAGACCGCTACTCAAGAAAAGTGGTGTAGTAGGTGTGTGATTCAGCAGGTATCTGCAGCGTACGAAGCAGGTGTCTGGATCGAGGCAAGCAGGTGTTTGCATAGCGATGGAGCGTACGGCATAATGCATAACCAACAGGTATTTAACCAATAACAAGGCTGGCCGAGACTCGTTTCCCAAATCCGGGCTGCTGCACAGGCAGACTGTAAGAGAAAAGCGGCAATGCCAGTCCAATGCAATCTGAATGGCAGCGCAGGTGGCGGGAGAAAGTTCCGCCCAAAGAGCACTAGCCAGACGGACCTCCCCGCGCCGCAGCAGGCTTACCGCCGGCGCCCAAGAATGTAGGGTTGGCCGGAGATCCATTCCCCCCCCCCCCCGCGACCTCCCCCTACACGCCTTCCCATATACGGACAAAACAACACCTACACGGCCAAAGTCTGCTCGTCCTTACCATTCCCACCCCTATTCCCCTTGTCATAAGAACTATCCCACCGTCAGCACCTGCGGGGAGGAGCGTCCTATGCCTTCACGTTTCCTTCTGTCGGTCGATCTCTCTCTACGTCTCTGCCCATAATAAGCCGCCAGCCCCTGGATGTCCGTTTGGCGATTCTAGGGACACCTGTGGCAGGTTCCTGACGATGCCACACTTTCCTGATCCGATGTGCCTCCAATCGCCGAACTAGAGGTGCATCGCGAGGCCGCTTACCTCGGTCCTCGTCCCGGCCTCCTCCTGAGGGCATCGGGCGAGAAGCGAACCGACATACGAATAACAAGTGTCAGCGTTGGAAAGGCCCCGCCGGGGATGACGGCGGGGGTCGGTGCCCTCCCGCACCTGGATGGAAAGCGGGGAAGGGGAGGGGGGAGGGGAGCCTCGGGGAAGGGGAGGGGAGCCTCGGTGAAGGGGAGGGGAAGCCCTGAGGAGTTGGGGGGAGCTGTCACGAATCGGCTCACTACTCATCCACGCAGTTGTTTCCACGGACTTTTGTTAATATTCGAGAAGCTAGCTTTCGCGACACAGACTGGGAAACTGCTCAACGCTAGGATCCATTGCTTTCAAAAAGCAATTTATATAGGAACCTTGGAAAACGGATCCTTAATTCAAATTTATCAATAACACACATTAGCTAAAACACAAAGAAACAGCCATGCACTCACGCACGCACACATACAGCAGCGCGCGCGCGCCGCTACATATATCGATCCTTTTTTCCCCTTTCACTCTGGCATACGTCACCCGCTTTGACGTATAATCACATGTTAAGAATGGCTTACTATTTACAACTGTCCGTCCGTCACACACCTATCGCAAGTCTTCCCGCCCCGTCTCTTTCTTGTCTATATTTACCCGTCGTCAACCACTGATCCTTTTTTGCGTATTCGTGCCCCACGGTTGCTTTGACAGAATTATTCATTATTCACGTGCAAGCCAACACGCAAGCGATAACCAAGTGTAGCGCATATTCATAATGGCAGACGTGACACTATGGCGCCGTTAGCTTAGAAACGAAGGGTGAGGGGCGGCGCCTCGCTACTACGATAGTATTGATAGAAGCGGTAAGCAACAGTCGACCTGTTGCACGCAACGTGTCTCCCCCCCCCCCCCATCCCACCCTCGCGTCAACCCCACCGGTTTCTACAGACGGAATAAACGAACTTGATCTCCTTCATTCCACCCCGCGTGCATTACTAAAAATTATATACTGACGACTAAAAGCGGTATAGAATTTCCCTCCAACGCTGACCAGACGCGGGGCCGCCAAGCCGAGCCCCGACGACGAAAGCGGAGTCATCGCGCAGCCGGCAGCCGCCTGGCGTCTCGGGAGTCATTGAGTCAAACTATCGGTTTCTACGGCGGCGGATCGGCGGCTGTGACGCGGGAAGGGCATTCGGACGCCGCTCACTCACTCGCCCAAGGAAGGAACAGAGTAGCCAGTGATGTTCGGTAAAATAAAGGAATCTAGGCACTGACCTAACCAATCGTTTGTGAATACCGATATTCCTGAATCACTTCATCCGATAGTCAAGAACCATGAGATTAATATCAAGATACAAGAAGTCATTCTTAACACTACAGTTTAACTAAGCTTCCCGACATACTTATGATCACGTGCACGAGATGCAACTGCTGGCTAAGGTTGCATCACCTACTGTGACAAATTGTGTCACGCCAGCCGAAGGAAACCCTTGAAGAGAAAATCATAAAACAGTCTTCTGAAAGACGAGACATCATCATGGAAGTAAAGGTAGATCTGGACAAAAAAGTCGAATATAAACAAGCAATAACAAGAAACAATGGCGGAAGGAGAAACAAGGCAAGGGAACAGGGGGCGACGGCGAGCAGACGAGACGCGAAAAGGCGTCGAGGGAAGACGCCCGCAGCAGTAAGGCTTCCCTGTCACCCTATGCATGGGCGGCTTGAGGTGGAAGACGTGCGGGACGGAGCAGCGAGTGGGTAATTAAGGTGATTACTAAAGAAACACGAATATAGCAAGTTGGAAGAAGACCGCGACGGGAAGACTGATCAGTCGCCCGAGGCTCCTTTTGAGGTCTACTTGACAAGTAAAGATTTCTCCACTTCCCCCGCGGGCCACGTGCGTGTGCACCGATCGCCGCGTCGCTTCCGGTCATGCGTATGCTGTGGCGCGGTCCGGCGGCTAATGCGGTACGGACATGCTAATAAACAGGAAATCACATCGGCGGCAGATGCACATTATAATAGTTTTTACAAATTACTATTTAACGTTCTAAACTTAATTCCAGTCAAATTCAAGAACGTAGGAATAAAAAACAGCTTTTCATAAATAAAAAAAATTGATCGGAACACGCTTTTTGGGGAGTATCTGCAATTCTAAGAAGCAGGACTAACAGGAACATTCGTCGCATTAACAAGTAGCCTCTCCGGGGCGCGCAGCTATATGCAATGTACATTTATACAATATACACTCAAAGATGATTCTGGCTGAAGTTCTCAGCGGACATGAAAATATAAGCGAGTCAGTATTTCAGAAAGAAAAATATGTAAAACTAAAAAAACAAACAACTTTTACGTGATTTTTTTTCTTTTGGCTTAAAACCATAACAAACAAAAGCAGCATTTCGCCGTTCATCACCAACAATTTGACTCCTTCCCGGCAGCAGGAAGGGCGAAACGTGAATCGATCTGTGTCTTCTTATAGACCTTCCCCCTCCCTGTACCCCGCCGCCCTATACTGTAATACACAGGGAAGTACATACCTAACCTTGGCTCGCATACAGTTACAGGTAGGTGTGGCATGAAGAAATCAGATCGATATAAGGAAGGGTTAGGGGAAGAAGGGGAGACAGGGACAACGACAGCATGGTGGGGATGACGGAGAGAAAGGATGGAAAATGAGGGAAAGAGGGAGGCAGAGAGGGATACTAAGTATAAAGTTAGGAGAGCGGAGGGGTTTGAAATAATGAAAGGACGTGAGGATATCGGCGAGAGAGTATTAAACTTAAGAGTCGTTTGGGGTCGGTGAAAGATAGGGAAAAGAAAAAAAAACTTGGCACGGCGTATAACCAACTAATTTTCCTTGTCCGTTAGGCCTTTTCGTTAGGCGCTTGACAACAGGCCAGCAGAAATAGCAATACAGATAACTTTAGTTATAGTAAATCTTTCTTGATATGCGGTGAAATAATGTATGCAAATTTAAAATGCATCTTTTTTTTCTTTTTTTTTTGTATTAGCAGTGTTATAACCGAATGTTCCATAACTGTCAACATTCAAATGCTTTTCAGAATGCGGGAGGAATTTTCGACAATATTTGAAAATAACATTTCGTAAATACCACTACGGATGACTGTGGCACATATGTATGTGTATGTATGTATATGTGTGTGTGTGTGTGTGTGTGTGTGTGTGTGTGTGTGTGTGTGTGTGTGTGTGTGTGTGTGTGTGTGTGTGTGTGTGTGTGTGTGTGTGTGTGTGTGCGCGCACGTTTGCATTCGTGTCTAACAAACTACTTGATACTTGTGTACCTTATTTTTACATATTTACCAAATAGTAACTCATAACAGGATTTATTGTTGGTTTGTTTGGCAACAGGAACCTTTACTTCCGCCCTCCGAAACACGCTCGGCCTTACCGAACGGGCGAATTGGCATGTTTCTTATTTCTTCAAGTCATATCCATGTTATTGGGGTTTGACGACGATACTCTACATGAAGTTGCAATTTTGCCATTACTTAAAATACAAATCGGCTGTGCTCCTGTCCCAACCGCTAGTCAAGACACATTCGGCCAAGGAGCCTGCGACCCGCCCCCAGGAAGAATTCGAGCTGTACTATTCTACCAAATGGCTCAAGTAAAACAGACCGACCCCATGCAGATAAGACGGGCCAAGAAAGATAAGTCCGTACCACTTGACAACCGCAGCCTCGTCGGCGATGGTATCAACCAGGTTAATCTACCATCCACCGAGAAGTACACTTTATCATCGTTTCGGCCGTATCGGTAGTGAAACGGCCGCGTTGGGGACTTCAACTAATGATGATGGCCCGTCGTTAGCTGAATGCAGACTAGGAGGCAAATAACACTGAATGGATGATGGCTTCGTTATATTCCTAGGATTGTATTAGAAAAGAATGTTTCGCTATTCAGAGACAGTCCACGAGTAGTTGGATTGTCATGGAACTCGACCGTTGCCATAGTCTGGATTCGAGGCAATGCTGAAAAGCCTTTGTCCGCGGCAGAGTAAAAGGCCCGAGCGAAGTCGCTGAACTGCACTGTATAATAGAAATATAAACAAAGTACAAGATCCCACACAAAGATACCTCGTCGATAATCGGGTGTATGACCATACGTCGTTAAAATGCACTTCCATGACAATAAACTGGTCCTTAACAAATGCGAGAGGAAATGCACAATGCGTTGCCATGGACGCCGCCGCAGCCTTGTAGAACATAAAAACATCTCGCATCATCTGGCTTAACGCGCGTGAAACAGTCAGGCCACGTAAACTACAAAAACAACACAAACAAACAAACAAACAAATACACACACACACACACATACACACACACACACACACACACACACACACACACACACACACACACACACACACACACACACACACACACACACACACACACACACACACACACACAGAGAGAGAGAGAGAGAGAGAGAGGAGAGAGAGAGAGAGAGAGAGAGAGAGAGAGAGAGAGAGAGAGAGAGAGAGAGAGAGAGAGAAAGGTTACGACCAGAGATATAGGGAGACAGAACTAAGAATGTTTAAAAAGTAGAATGAAACGAAAACTAACCTTCAGGTCGAAGCAAAAACAACACCCACTAAGAATCGGCATGATTAATGAGAGGTCGTCCCGATCCTTGTACGAAAAGCGAAACACTTGTCTATAACCGTCCTTCCTTGATGGTAACTTGGCTCAGACTGGCGGTCATGGACGTCGCCTCAG